ATGCTTAATTTTGTATATTTTCATTCTTGCTATTTATTACCTCTTTGATCTTATTCAATCTTTGCTAAATTTCCCTATTAATTTCTGTTTAATTCATTCTATATTTCACTCCAAAATTTATGTTTCATTCTTTTTCATTGTTTTAAATTCTCTCCCAATATTTCTGGCCTTTATTTTATTTACTTCTTTGACCATATTAAAGGCATACTTATGATTTGTGTCCTATAACTCCAATATCTTCCCCTGTGTATGTTCCCATTATTTGTCGTATTCAGTGTGTAGTCATCTTCATTTGGAATCAGGCATTGTATAAAAGAAAATGTGTGGAAGTAATTGCAACCTAGGTTGATGTTTTCGCCCTCCCAATATGATGAGCATTTACTCTAAGGTTCTAGGGACGCTAGTACTAAGATTTATCTTAATATACTTTTAGGAACTAAAGCTGGGCTTCTGTCTGAAAGAACTAATTCTGCTTGTCCCTTCTTTGTAGGGCCTGGCTCTTTGAGAGTTTTGCCTACCACATGATGGGTTTATCAGACCTATTAATACAGAAAATACAAATCCACTGACTTCAATCTTTGTCCTCTTACTGTATGACGATTGTCAAAAGGGCTGGTTAGCTTCTCCAAATTAATTTTCTCCTCCTGAATTTGTAGATGCTTCTTGAAAAGGAGGGCACCAAATATTAAGCTTATCTGTGTTGTTCTTCTCTGCGTGGACTTTGCCCATTAATCTTTCATGTTTTATTAATTCTCTGATGCTTCTAAGGTGATTTGTTAAAAATATATTGTTGTGCAGCTTGCCAGCATCAACAACAACAAGAACATGTCTTTCATTTCACATCTACCTTCCAATTTTCACACACGTGAACAGAGCCAAATTTCCGCCTAAACACTCACTCACTTTAAGAGGGTCAAGTAGACACTTTCAGCCTGTCTGATCAGAAGAAGAATAGAGCCAAGATTAAGGAAGCCAAGAGCCTCATGATCCATCAAATGCCCCTTCTCCAAGTTGTTCTCAAATTTTATCTTGCTGAAATTGTTTTTCCTTTCCTTTAAACTGGTGGTTTTCAATCCTCAATATTAGAGCCACTTAAGAACTGAGAATACTTATTTTTAGTCATCACCTCCAGAAATTGATATATTGGTTTGAGGGAGAGTGCAACTTGAAAATATAAAAAATTTTAATGTTCCCAAAAATGCTATTAATGTTTATTACCTTTCATTTCTCCTTAATCCCTTCCCAACTTTTATTTAGTTGGTTTTTTGTTGTTTAGTTTATAAAATGACCTTACTCTTTCTACTAGATTATAAATTCTCTGCAGATGGGATTTGAATCTAATGTATTTTCATATTCTTTAAAACTTCCAGAAGATTGCTTTACAAATAATGTACTTTACATGCTTATTGAATACATGAATGAATGTTGCGTGATAGCTTGTAGGCAGGAGCACATTAAAGATTCTAGGCATGGTACCTCGTCCTTGTGTCTCTCCTGCTTCACATGCTATCAGGTATACCCACTGTGAATCTATTCATGCTGCTTGGCATGATAGACATGTAAGTGGATATATTACTCAACGGCATTAGTCTTCTTATCAATAACTCACTATAAAATATAACTTGACACAACATTATTCTTGGTTTAAAACATAACACCTAAGAAACTGCATTCTCATCTATGGAAACTATTACCTGTAAATGTAAAAGTCTAGGTAGAATGTACAAGACTTAGTAGAAGTCTAAAATCTAAAGGAGGGAACTGGAGAAATAAAATCTATTCTTGCTGATTTCTAAACAATTTATTTTCATATGTTCAGTGCACCTCTCAGGTAATCTTCTAAAACCATAGTTGCAATCATAAAAATTTCTCATCTTAAGTATTGTATCAATTGCAAGATTAATTTGAAAGAAGTTTTAAATAAATGTCTAAATTATATATCCCAACCTAATTACTAGCATTCCACTCTCACAAAATTTAAATGCTACTCAGTTGTTGTACATTGTTAATATTAAGAGTCTTAAGACACATAATTCAGCATTGCTCAGAGATTTTAAATATTCAAAAACAAAATTTTCTCAATATCTTTGGCAAATTAATACTCAGACACAGCTCCTGTGAAAAGAATTAGGTAGTCTTCGACCTCTTTCCTACAGTTTCACCTATTAGACAATGATTAAAGATAGGCCATTGGGCCTGCCTTTTAAGCACAATTATTGTCTGAGTACTTAAAAATATTAACGTTAGGGATAAAGAACAGGAGAAACTACACATGATGCTTAGAAAACAATAAGGAGATAAAAAGTAATCTGGCTGAAAAAAGTTCGTAGTCTTATCTCTTCTGTCCACTCCCTCCCCATTTAGTTTAAGGTTCAAATAGCTTTGAAAGCTTTAAAGTTTCAATCTATCCTTAATGCACTGGATGAAATTTAGTGTCAAGAATCAACATTTCATTTCGGATGAAATCCTGTCCTATTCTCTCATTTGTCTTCTCTTTTCTTGATAATTAAGAATGATTGCTTGGTTGCTTGTTTCCTGACATATTTCCAATAGCTTAACTTCCTTAAAGTCTTCCTAGAAAAGTCTTTCTCTTAGTTCTCTAATATTCCTTTATGGTTCTAATAAAATTCATACCACTTATATGGTTTTAACACCTCTATTTTTAAGAAACTCTGTCTGAATGTTTTTATATCTCCACAGTTAAATGGCTTACTTCATGAAAATGAGGACTGAATTTCTTAGTGTACTTTACTAACCAAAAAAAAAAAAAAAGAGTAAATGTTCACTTACCTCAGATTTTATTCACTTAGATAAAGGAGTCTGAAGGCAGAGAACTCAAATATCACTGAGTAAATATTTAATAAAAGTTGACATGTGCTAAATGCCTGCTGTCATTGTTGAAACCTATAAATGCAAAATCATAAGATTTTTAGATATTGGACTGATTTTCACTCTACCCAAGTAGCATTAATGTGGCTTTTATGAAAAAATAATGGAATAAGAATTGACTTTCTTCTTTTAAAAAATTAAATAATATGTTCCATTTTAAAAGAATTTTCTATGGAATATGCTTATTACGTGGAGGATGAAGGTGGGGAACCATTTGGTCTTATATTTGGACTTCGGAACTAGTCACCAAATACAGACATTATAACACTGTGTTTATGTTGTTTAAAATAAATAACTAAAACACTGCCAATTTTAGAATCCCTTGTTTCTTCATTTTTATATTAATAGCCTTAGAAAATAGAAGTGGCCTGGGAATTCCCAACTCCTGAGAAGTCATGCTTCATGGTGCTATTATGCATACCTAAAACAAAATATTAATAGTGGAAATGACATTTTCCATATTAAGTGATAAAAGTTAAATATATTTCCATTATTTCACTATTGAGATAAATATGGTCACTGTAAATGCTAATAAAAACTTTTCTTTAGAATCTTTTCAAGTGAATCTGATCTATTTTCCTGCTGTTTCCAAGATTTTTGGAAATGAGTGTATTTGTATTCACTTGGATGGGACATTTCTGTGGAATTAATCAAACAGGGAATTCAGTGTTTTTTGCAGATAATTTTGGCCATAATCCATTGGGAAATTTCTTGACTGAATTTTCATCTTTACTGGAAAAAGACCCATATGTTCCAAACCCTCAGTCTTTTTTCTACCTATTAGTGAAAGATAGTAACATAACTATTATACACAAAATTATTAACAATGTTATGTGGGAAAATTCATCACTAAAATAAGAGAAAGCAAAAATGTAAGAATAACAGTTAAAATGTAGTAAATAAAAACTCACATCAAAGTGCCTTTGAAAAGCACCATAATAATTGATGTTCTAATTTTACTAAAATTTAAACTTTTATTTGAATTAAAGAATTGGAAAATATTAACAGATTCTAGAATATTCCAGCAAGTTCAGAAACTATAAACCCCATTTTCCAAGAAAAAACAGTGTTATTGCTTCTGGTAATAATGAAAATTTCACATTGAATACCTAATTAAAACTTTTGAAACTGCATGTTTTGTTTCTTAATAGTTTTCCTACATTTATAATATAATCAGAATTCTTATCCTACTCTTGGCTTCATGTTTCATAATAAACAAACTTTTATTCTGTAAGAGGTTGATGCTTTTGTTCATGTTATATACGTGTAACTTCATTTCTAAAGTCTGAGGAAGTCTGTAAGTTTTTTTCTACCAATAATGGTTTTATCTGAACTTCTACACCTGGGCAGTTCCTCAACAGTAGGCACAAAGACCTAACACTTGTATTGAATTTAACCTGCTGAACAGGTGGTGGTGGTTGTTGTTGTTGTTGTTGTTGTTGTTGTTGTTGTTGTTGTTTGTCAGCTTTGTGGAGGACATTTAAGTGGAGACAGCCAGGAGACTGAAGCTAGGAGAAAACAGTATTTGGAGTCATCATCAAACAGAGTGGCTGAAGCCACAGATAAGGGTGTTATTACAACAGAGGGTATAACGGTTCAGGAAGACCCTGGGGTTTACATATAAATCCCTTATTAGGTGCCCAGTAAAGACTTTAGAAGTAAAAAAGAAAAAAATGGACTAGAATGTAACAAGGTTCTTGATTGTTTTTTCTATTTAAGTTTGAGTAAAAAGGAGTCTCATTTCCTCCAAAATCTACCGCAATTCTTCAAGATGGTAAGTGATGACAGTAAAAGCTCTGTCAACAGGTCATATTTATATCCCTGAGATGAAACCATACTATTTTAACACACATCACACTCTCATTGACCTCCCCACTAGCTCATGATGAATACAAGATGTTTTTCTTGATCTGGCTTGATGCTTTTTTAATTTTTTAGCAAAATATACAATAACTGCCAAGATGAAAGAGTAGCCTTTCCTAAATCATTCCAAGCATCTCCATGACTACAAGCATGTTTTCCTAAGTTGGTAGATTGGGGTTTTTTGCTTAAGAAAATATAAATTCATTCAAGTGCTAAACTCACAGGGTTTATCATTTTCTTATTTGCAGGATCAAGCCAAAATGACAGCTCAATTTGGTTGTCAACACTGCACAGCATCACTTCTTGGGAAGAAGTATGTACTAAAGAATGACAGCCCATGCTGTGTTTCCTGTTATGATCGTATCTTCTCTAACTGCTGTGAAGCATGCAAAGAACCAATTGAATCTGATTGCAAGGTAGGTCTCACCACAATTCACAGAATGACTGCTTATATGAAGCAGAGAAGAGCCCTGGAATCCCTCTCTTCTCTGCTGAACGTTAACACTATTTCTGGGCTACTGTATATAAGGATCCTACAAGTGATCATTAATCAAGTTCTAGCCAATATGTTTAGTATTATGAGATACATGCTTTAATTCTCACATAATCTTGTGAGATACTTTTTAGGATTATAAAGCTAAAAGAAATTAAGCTATTTTCCTAAAGTTACACAGCTAAAATATCAAGCTATTTCTGGAATATCTAAGGTATAATTAAATACATAAAGTTTGAATGTAAAAAGGGTCAAACTCTGCTTTTCTACTTAAAAATCATCCTTATCTTCACTAAACTACACATACTAAACCTTTCCACTACCACCCATTCCTCATACAATGCTCACTTCTTTCTTTTTCTTTTTCTTCTTTTCTACCTTTTCTGTAATTAGGTGGTGCTGTTTGTTAGTCTGAGAATGTACTCAGTGGTAGAGAGCTTGCCTAGCATTTACAAGGGCCTAGGTTTAATCTTCAACACTTCCAAAAACAAAATAAAAGTTATTTGTTAAGTCTAAAAGAACAATAGGATATTACAACCAAAAATTTAAAACCATTCTAGGAAAAATCTTTTTTGTTAGTTATTTGAAGAACTATCAGGGAGTCAGTGTATTTTCCAGCAGCCCTTAGGGACCAAACAAGAAAACTCCAGGATCTAGCGCTTAATTACCCAGAAAGTCTCAGTATCAGTAACGACTTCGCCTCAAGCTAGTTGCACAACATACTGGTGCCAGACTCCCAGGAATATTGTTTTATCTTATAAAATGGTCTGTTTTGTTGCAAAAACATTTAATTAACTTTTATTTCCTGTCTCAAAGGATCTTTGTTACAAAGGCTGGCACTGGCATGAAGGATGCTTCAGGTGCACCAAATGCTATCACTCTTTGGTGGAAAAGCCTTTTGCCGCCAAGGATGAGCGCCTGCTGTGCACTGAGTGCTATTCTAACGAGTGCTCCTCAAAGTGCTTCCGTTGCAAAAGAACCATCATGCCTGGTAAGATCTCCAGGAAGTACTGTGCCCTAACAGGATCTGCAAGGCTTTTCATTAAATGCTGGAAGATGAGTTCAGGGCTCCCGAGCCCTGGGTCTGAGAAAGACATCCTCCTTGCTGTCTCTTGATCTTATTTCATATATTTTAGAAAGGAAACAATTGTTCATTCATTATTTGTAAATAGATAGTTTACAGTGTTCTATTTTCAAAAAATTTAACTCACAGAAATATTTTGAAACAGAACCTAAGCTGTGCAATAAGGATAAAATGCATACCAATGACGCTACTTTGCAAACCCTGGGCCTAGAGTAAGAAAAAATGACTTGCAGGAGGTGTGAGCCAAGCATTTTTTTGTAGCACTACACAAACTGGTATGAGAATCCATTAAAATCATGCCACTGTTGGCAAGCATCCATTGTTGCTGCAATATATTTTGGTCCTTTTCTATATTATTGTGAATACCAGTAAAAGAGAAAGATTCTCTCTCTCTCTTTTCCTGCCTCACATTTTCTTTTCTTATTATAGATTCAAATAATTTCAGAGACCATAACTACACAACATAAATTCCCTGGGCATTTCTAATATCCCAACAATGATTATTGTGGCCCAATTTATCTAAACCATGTGTAGCCATTCAAATTCTCTACTTCACATATTTTCACATCTCCAAATTGCAGTTTATGCAGGGCTTGGAAGAGTTTTCAGTGAATGAATGAATGACTTACTGTCATCATGGCTAAACTGTATTATCTTTTCTTTCCCCAGATGAACATTTCTGGAAACTGAAAAAAAAGTTATTTTTATGAAAGTACAATTAATTTATGACCTTTATGTTTAAAATATATATTTTAAGGAACATGATCTATAGTTGCTTAAAGAATAGAGACTAATGCTTGACTTGGACTAAAAGGTTCTTACTTTTGGAATTCAGGTTCTCGCAAAATGGAATTTAAGGGAAACTACTGGCATGAAACCTGCTTTATGTGTGAATATTGCCGGCAACCAATAGGAACAAAGCCTTTGATCTCCAAAGAGAGTGGCAATTATTGTGTGCCATGTTTTGAAAAGGAGTTTGCTCAATACTGCAACTTTTGTAAGAAGGTAATAATCTAAAGCTTGCAGAAGCTTATGGAACCTTCCAGAAAATTACTTTTTAGCTACATCATATATTTAGAATGAACTCACACTATCATGTTATATCCAGCTAACACATTCATGTTAGTTTTAAATATCAACATGCCCAAAATCACCAGCCATCAAAATGAGGTTAGCTACTTATTTTTATTAGCTATAAAATTTCACCCAGAAGATAAATTTAACATTCCAAATAGTTCAAGTTATTTGGTATTCCAGTTCCATTTACTGCTTTTATGCAAAGATTTTATGTAATCTGGGAGAGGTTGCATCACTCCTTGAATACAGAATGTTTCTTAGAAAATAATTTTTGATCCATTCACTGTTAACTCTTTCAGAGAAACATGGATTTGTCTCACAGAATGACTAAACAAGCCAAGGTAATTTGATGTTTAACACCATACATTACATTCCAGTGAAGCAAATGCCTTTACTGGCTTGACACTTTTGTATTTTCAAAGAGTAGGCTGGATAGGTTGAAGAGAGTGACAGGATCATGAAGGAAATTCAGTAAATGTAAAGACACAAAAAAGACCAAAAGCTGCGGCCTCCTTAACTTCTGGTTCCAGAACAAGTATGGCCTTCTTATCTGGGTTTCCATACAAAGCAAATTTTCCAATAGCAAAATAGTGATATATTAGAAGAAATTTTGTCAGATTCTTTTTTAGCCTCTAAGCTTTTATGTGAAAAATGACCTGTGTCTATCATCTTGATGATGCATGTGTTTCGTAAAATATATATTGATGCTCTGAAAGATATCCTTGACCTGTGAGGAATCACAAGTTTTAAATGACACCATAAATTGTGATGAGAAAGCTGACTCATGAAAACACATGGGATTAGTACAGCAGTTCCTAAACATATGTAATCTGTGGGTTACTTTGTCCGATCTCTTAAAACCATTTGCATTTTTGTATGTGGACAGCTTGAAGTCTCATTATCACATTCTATATTTTTACATATATTGACAATACCAGTATTGCATTTAAATTGGAACAAATACAATTTCCTAACCTAAAACTATTGAATTGCACCATAATGATAGCTGAGAATTACAGTGGATAGATAATATGATATGAAATCATCTAATTTCAGAAAACCTTAGAAAATAATGTTATGAACAACAGTGAGACCCTATTGCCCTGTGACATGTCAACCTTCACTGAGAGTCAGTGATATGCATTTAAAAACAGGTGCTGGAGTTAAAATGAATTGGTTTAGAGAGACAACTAAGTAGCCAATTTTAGGCCTCATTTCTTAATGACTTAGGCTAAAATATTAATGAAACTTGTCAGAATAGTCCTAAAATGTGTTGAATACAATATAAACTTTCTTCCAGTGCTGCTATAAAGATTCAAGACAGGAGGGCCGGGGATTTAGCTCAGTGGTTCCGCAGACTGCCGTGCAAGCTCAAGGTCCTGAGTTCGATCCCCGGTACCAAAAAAAAAAAAAAAGATTCAAGACAGGAACTTCTCCAAAATATCAGGGCTGAGCACTATCTGATGGAAAGCTCTGGCATTTCTCAGATTATAGAAGACTGTGACATATTTAAGATATGATTTGAAGTTATCAGAAGTTTATGAAATGTTTATGTTGAATAGTAAAAAGATTATGATATGCCATATTATTTTCTATTTAATTTTTAAAACCATAAGTTCCTGAAGAAAAGCATGTTATACATGTTTTTGACCAAAGATAAAGAAAAATAATTTTTAATCCAAATCAAAGACCAAATTTCTTTTTTTTCTTTTTTTCTTTTTTTTTTTTTTGGTACCGGGGATCGAACTCAGGATCTTGTGCTTGCAAGGCAGGCAGCAGAACTACTAAGCTAAATCCCCAGCCCTCAGATTTCTTTTTTAAAAAAGCAAAATGTACTTGACAACTAGGCCCATAAACATTTTCTACAGATTTTATTTTGCTACACCAAAATTTGTTTTCTGCCAAAAAGCAAATGACTTCAAACTATAAGTGTTTTGAATTCAAATTCCTGAGTTCAAAGAGAGTTAAATGTATTCTTTAAAACTTTGTCTATCATCTACTGCAAGCAAAATCATTATTGCCTTTACCAGAGAAGAAACTTGTTCTAAATCCTGAGATCACCAGTAACAAAACCAGGCTTAGATATTAGACTTCATCTTAGCCTGCCTAACTCTTCAAAAGGAACCCAGTCACAAGCAAACTACTTTTAACATTCCAGAGTTTCTACCCCTTAATTATACACACTTTGGTGCATACATCAAGTTGTATTTTGCTTTGAATACATTTTTCAAGTTTCAAATCTTTAAAGCATTGCCTGCTAACATTTCACCAAACAAATCAAAGGAATTCTGATTTCTGCTGTGCCTGCTGTAAGGCATTTGAAGTCTGTAGGGGCATTTTAAATTGCTTTACTTCACACACACCATTATGCTTCCCCTTTGCTTAGAATAGTATTTTTTTTCCTTTAGGAAATACAATTCATATGAAATATCTTTAATTATAAATATTTGTTATAAGATTTAAAATATCTTTAAAATAATTTTTTCAAAAGTATGCAACATTTTTTAGTTTGTCAACAATAAGATGGCTTAAAGGTTAAATTTGATAGAATGTATGTAAGGACATCTCAGACAATACCTTGCTTCAGTCTTTAAAAGACATGGGCATAAACACACTCCAGTTTTCTCAGCATTTCTCTAGTTCAATTGCCATGGATTTGAAACATATGGCTGTAAAATAGCTACCACAGAATAGCTACACCCAATATTTATCCATCTGTTTTTGAGTAATGATGTTTCAAACCTTTAATAAATACAATACATAGATTAAATTGGTTTAGAAAAATATATTGCCTTATGTAGAACTAAGAAGCATCTCTGAGCAAATCTTACCACATTTTAAGGCTCAATGTAAAACTAATGCCATCATTTTGAGACCAAAAGCTGAAAACTTATCCAGCTGTCCAAAATACCCCGTGTGCTAGACACAATATTGGAATTACTTTTCAGAGAGTTTGTCTTTTGGTATTCATTGATTCAACAAGGACTTATCAAGTGATTATATGTGCAAAGTGACCTTGACTCAGAATTGTATGAATGGTTAAGCACACAAGTTATGGAGTCAGGGCAGAGTGTGCAGACTTGAATGCCACTTCTCCGTGGCTAGGGCAAGTAATTAAACCACTCTAATCATCAGTTGGGAAAAGTAAGAGTATCTATCATGAGGACAAGAAGGTGTTGAGAATAAACAGAAGAAGCCAGTTTTCAGCACAGTGCTGAAGACTGAAAAGAACACTTTAAATATTTAAGTCTTATTACCAAAAGAATTCCATTCAGTATTTCTAATCCTAGATATTCCTGAACCTAGTGTAAAGGAAAATGTGGATTTTTTTCAACATCCTTAAAGTTAGATATTGATATAAGAACATAGTATAGAAATATCTTAGCTATGATGGTAAATCTTTGAAAATTAAAATAAGAAAACTCAGAGAAAGAGGAGGAAAATCAGCCACATATTTTGTTTTGTTTTTTATCTTCCTTAGTCCACAGTGCTCCTGCCTTTTTTCTGATCCATTGTAGGAGAAAATTAGAATGATTTTCATTTTTTGCCAGTTCCATTTAATCCCTACAATGTTTGGCTGCTCTTATTGATTCAAAAACATTAAAAAAGTTTCTTAGGGAAAAGGACATCCTAATAAGATGATAGAGTAGTCCAAATCACCAGTTGTGGACATAGAAAAAAATCATGAAGTGGTTTGAATTGTAATGGCACCCACATTCATTGCCCTTTTTGTGATCCTTTGGTAGGTGATAACCTCTGGTGGGATAACATTTCTTGACCAGCTGTGGCATAAAGAGTGTTTTCTGTGTAGTGGCTGTAGGAAAGAGCTTTGTGAAGAAGAGTTTACGTCCAGAGATGATTATCCATTCTGCTTGGACTGCTACAACCATCTTTATGCCAAAAAGTGTGCAGCTTGTGCAAAACCCATCACTGGTAAGTTCTTCAGTTCAATATGATCCTTACCATAAGACAAGACTATATAAAATGCTACCTAATTAATTTAGGAAATGCCAGTAAAACATAAATCTTTCATTTATGTTTCCTTTTGAGATAAATACAAGTGAGACCCATGTTTTTTTAAATTCTTTTATTGGTACATTTTAGGTATACAACACATTTACATTTCTCATTGGGAACTTGTACCTTTACATGATGCATCTTGGTTCTTGTTTTTTCCCCATTCCTAGCCTTCCCTTTACCCCTGCCACCCTTCCCTATTTATAGACTTTGTTTCCATTTTTTCCATTTCTCATCATTTTTCCTTTCCCTTCTTTCCTTTTCCCTGCCCCTCCCACTACCCCTACCCCTTTGGACCGTTTCTTCCTATTTTGCATTATCAATTATTCATTCTAATCATTGGTACATTTTAGGTATACAATATAATGACATTCATCATTGGAAATTTGCACCTTTACA